TTGCAGCCAGTCTCCCTGCCTCCACGTCCTCACTCCAGACTCCAGTCCAGCTCCCAGTCCTGCCGCCTGACCCTCCAACCTGAATCCATGTCTGCTGCCATCTCTGTGTCATCCTGATCCACAATGTCATCACCACTCCTGTGCTTACACTTCTGCCGTAGCCTCTCTCCCGGGGGAGACAGAGCTGTTTTCCCTTCTTCCTCTCTGCAGCCTCTCTGTAGTTAATTTATAGGGGCAGAGTGATCAGGCCACTTCCCTGGTTGATACCCAGGATTCACAGCCCCCAGTGTGGCCCCAGGGTCCTCACATCTGGCTCTACTCTCTGGAGCCCCAGCTTGTTTCACCGGCTGACCCACCCGTGCCCAGGGAAACGTGGGTATCCTTCAGTCCTTTTATGGTACCACTCTGTTTGCCACCCCAGGGCCTTTGCACCTGTTCTTGCCTTAGCCTGGAAAGCTCTCCCCTTCTTCCTGTTGTGGCTTATTGATTCCTTCCCACCCCTCAGGCTTCAGCTCAAATGGCTGCTGCCCCAGATTCCTCGTCAGCGCTGGCCCCGTTGTTGCTTCTTGCCTACGTGCCCTTCTTTGCTGGCGCGAACTACAGGCCCTTCTGATGCATTTATTTAGTGGCTTGGTACCACCATCAGTCTCACTGTGTAGCCTGTGAGCTCCATGTTTTTGTCCTAACTAGAGGCCTCACATGGTGGGCTCAGAAGTGCTGAGAACCTGAATCCATGGCAGTAAACTCAGGCAAAATCATTTGACCTCATTTGGAGGGTCTTTATTTGTAAAATCCAGACTGTGAGGTCTGCTTCCCAGGGTGCTTGAGGATAGAGTGGGCTGTGTCCTTGTTGCTCAGAGGACTGGGGTTTCAGGTGTGGGGCTGCTCACCAGGCCTCTGGCCTTTGCACACGGCAGTGGGCCTCACCGGTGCTCACCCACACTTCTGTGTCTGCTGGTGCCCTGCCGCCTCCCAACTGCCCCTCAGAAACACCCAGGGGGAGAAGCAGACACTGGTTTTGGAGCCAGCAAGGCTCACACATGGGCAGCCTCTGTCTACCACCTAGGTTCAGGATGATTTTCCCAGACGGTGATGGGATCAAGCGCAGGGTTGCCAGGCATGGCTCTGTGAGACCCCTCTCCTGTCCGGACAGCTGACAGGCTGGAGGGCTTTCCTAAAGAGAGTTGGTTACAGCAGGGAAGAAGCTGTGCAGATACACGCATGTGCTTATGTGAGCAGCATCCGTGTTGTCAGAAGGAGGCGTCACTCTTGGGGGGTCGGGCGCGCCTAGAAGCCTGAGTCCTCATTCTTTTGTCATCTGTCTCCCTCTGGTGGTCTCAGCTTAGGGTTAGTGCAAGAGCTGAACAATTTACTGTGAAATGGTTAAGACCAGATACTTTCATGCTAAAACGAGGCTGTTTGATTTGGGTTTTGCACTTTGTGGTGGGGGTTGAGAGCTGTGCCTGTGAATCTGAAATAACTCCGCATCCCCTGCCCCCACCCGACACGCTCTGGGCTCTGCTTCCCCGGCGCTGCCTGAGGAATGGGAGGCAGGATCTGGAGACGCTGTGGCATTTGCTGTTTCCCGTTAGATGAAAGAGCAGGGCAGGAATGCAAAGGACCCCATCGCAGATGGAGAGTTTCAGCAGAGGCCTTGAGTCCTTCACCGGCCTCGTCGCAGGCACAGGTGTCCGTGGTTGCCAGTAGTGGCCTCTGCTGCCCCGGATGGGTACCCTTCACACACAAGGGTCTGTGCCCCCACTTTGTTCCCAGGTCTGGTGAGGCTCATTGACCCAAGAAAATGGATTGAGATGGAAATGTGAACCTCAGAGAGGTCTGGTGCTGACCAAGGTCACCTTGGGAGCTGGCAAGGGAAGGGCTAGAAGGCAGTGGCCTCAGAAGGTAGGAAGGCTACATACTACCCTTCCCTAAGGTCTAGGGCACACGGGGTCCCATGAGGGCACTGGCCCAGGACAAGGGCTGGGCGCTGGTGAGGCTGTGAGGTGGGGGGAGGCCCTGAAGGGGAAGATGCCTTGGGTAACCAACACTGTCCTGCAGAGCAACACGGGGCCATCTACTGGTCACCAGAGTCACTGCATGGAGCCCCATGGGTTACCTGGGCTTCGTATGGGATGCTGCTCACTGCAGAGGGGTGGGTGGCCTGAGGTGGTAATAAGAGGCCTACTTCAAGCTCTGGTGGGCCTTCCCAGTGCCTCATCTAGGATGCCACAGTGAGGACAGGGGTGTGTCCAGCAAGGAGGGTAGGCGAACTTCAGTCCAAAGAAGCCAGCGCTTCAGAGTGGGGTGCTTGCTGCACTGTGATCAGTAGCTCTTGTTCCCTCTGTTGCGGGTGGCCTCTGTTCCTCCCCAGCTGGTGACAGAAACAGGTGCTTCCTCTGAGGGACAGACTGGCTGGGGTTCTTCCCGTGCAGCTGCCCCCCAGTCCCTCACCACTGGTACATCCAGCCCTGCCCAGCTGGGAGAAGGTTAGTGGACAGCAGAGTGAGGACCAAGGCTTCTGAGCAGGAAAGGGATGCCAGACTTGACCCTGGACAGTGCTGCCTGCAGGGGTCAGTCAGGCTTTCTCACCCTTAGGGGATAGGGCATTGTAAGGAGGGGTTCCCTGGGCACTTCCCCTGCCAGCACCTCCATGAGTTAGGGTGTGGGGACTGTGCCTTTCAGAGTGGTTTAGCCCCTGAGATTCCTGATTCATTTGTTCTTAAGATGATCCCAGGGGTGGGAGGGTTCTTGTCTGCTAGAGACCCAGTGTCCCCAGCCTGACTGTGGGGCAGTGTGACCATGTGTGTCTGAACAGCACAGATTCCTGGGCTCCACCCTAGTTCCAGTGAAGTACCATCTCCCATGTGGGGTCAGGGACTCTGTAAGCCTCTTGGGGCCACAGGTGATTCTGGGCACAACTAGGGTTCCTGAGGTCTCCCTTGCCCCCTCCTTCCTTATGTGACTTGAGGCCCCCTCATGCAGTCTGCTCAGGGGCCATGTGAGTGACAGGAGCTCACTTTGGTCTTTGTGACAGCTGCTGCCCTATCTGATGCCCAAGGCCCTACCCTGTCCACCGTTTGACTTTTCTTCTGAGCTAGATGCAAATAAAAACTGGAAATTCATTAATGACTGCCTTTTTATATGCTTTTAGCCTTTATGAGACTCATATTAATATTTACAAAAACACTGTAGAAATAGAAATTAGGAATTTCCTTCTCTCTTACCTCCCACCATTTTTCTGGTTAGGAAATTGAGGCCCTTAACAAAACTTAGGTGCCTTGCTCAGAGACGCAAAGCCTGGCTCAACAGGGCTGGGGGGAGAGT